AGCCCCAGTTCCCTTTGGGGTGAATCCCAGAACCATACTGAATCTGTCTCTCAAATCCTAAATATCTCAGTGGGCAAGAGGGCTTCTTGAAGATTTTTAAGCCCCAAGTTTTTTCCGAAATCTGGGAAGGTGGGATACCAAGGTGGGAAGGTGGAACCATCAGTGCCAAGTTTATAGCATTTAGGGAGATGGTTTGGACCCCGACTAGGCCCCAGTCCTTTCTCCACCCCATCAGCCCGGGACCCCTCAGTGAGCATGGCAGGTAGAGGGTCCGGGGAAATTGTCTGGGAGCCTGCAGAGTCCTCTTACCATGCCTGGAGCTCCACTGCTCTTGGATTGGCCACAGAAAACAAGCCTGTTCCCTGGCAAGACAGAGGATAGCAGCACAGTCTGCTTCCTGTCCTGGCTCAAAGCCCATCCTCTACCCTGTCACCCACTCCTCTTTTCAAGTCTGAACTCACCTTCCCCACTCCCACCACCGAACCTCTCCCCTGGGACTCCACAGCCTCACCCAGCCTGCCCTGACTCTCCCCACCCACTTACTGCTTCCACAGCTCTGGTCCAAACCTGCCCGGACATTCACCCTAGTTCCAGAAGACCTTTTCTCGCCTCTCCAGTCCCCTGTCTATAATACCACTCCATCACCCTTCCCAGTTCCTGTCTTTCCCCAGGCTGCTCCCACTGAATCTCCTTCCTTCCCTCTGCCCCTCAGCCTCAGGGATTCTAGGGTCAGGGGGCAGACCTAGAATGTAGACATTGCTAATGCCCAGACAAGCTAATTGCTAATGCCCATAAAAGCCCTCTGTAGGGGGCAGACCTACATTCCTGGCTTCGTCTGTAAGACTGGCTGACAGGCCCAGCAGGGCCATGCTGGGGTAGGAGAATGAACCACTACCTACCTTTCTTTCTGGCCAACACAGCAAGCAGCACCACTGCCACCGCCAGTAAGCCCAGCAGGAGCACAGAGCCCCAGATCAGAGGGATGCTGAGGGACACAAAGGGACAGGTGAGCTTGACCCTCAACTTACTTGGGAGCTGCTAGCCAGGAATCCTGGAGCAGTGACACAGGGTACAGTTCTCGTGGAGCCATGGTTGGAAGAAGGACATTTGAGGAGTGGAATGAGGAGGGTAGGTGCAGGTGGGGCAGAATAGAGACACATTATCAGGGTATTCTGACTGAAGACCCTGCTGGATGAAAGGACTATTGCTGAACTGGGATAGAGAGGTAGGTCTGTCTGTCTGCCTAGCTGCCTGATCAGAAGTTCCCCAGGAAAGGAAGGAATCATAAGGTTTCTCTCTGGCTTAGTCTGGGGCTCTAAACAAGCCATATCTTCACCACCACCCTTGTTGCAGCTGCCCAGACAACGTTCTTGTCTGTACCTCTTCACATTCTGCCTCGGCTCCAGAGGGCTGGCGCTGGCTCCAGAGTCTGAAGAAAGGTCGTCAGCCAAACTGTCAACCTCCTCTTCCTCGTTCAGGCCACGAACTGAGTCAGAAGGAAATATTTAATGAGCACATACCCACTGGGGGTAGGGTTAAGGGCCTGTTGAGGTCTGAGCAATGGAGGAGTAGAGCTGAGGAAGGAGAGGTTTCAGTAAGAAACACAGGGAAGGGTGTTGGGGTTTTCCTTAGGGTTCTCTCATACTGGGGCCTGGGAATGGCATTCTTTATGCTCTACCTGACTGTGAATATGTCCACTTTCCCCTCTACCACCCCTCCCACCCGCTTCCTTCTTATTTCTCTAAAGGAGCTCAGCACAGCGACCGAGGCCTCTTCACACACCTGCCGCCTCGTGGCCCCCTGCAGGCTGGCTGAGCCCCACCCCGAGCTCTGCCCTCGGCATCTAAGGAACTGCAGGGTCAGCCCTAATGTGATACATACCAACTGACCCTTGCTGAGGGAATGCCCAGATCCTGAGATCCAGTGTGGTGACAAAGCTTCTGTCATCCCTATAACGTGCTCAACTTCAGTCTGAGGGACTCAGGGTTGGCTTCTCTGGACCTGAAGGTCTGTCTTGGGAACCTGGCCAGTCCTTCTAGTCTCTCTGGGAAGGCAGCCTCACCCTGTTCTTAAGAGAGTCGCCAAGCCTACTCCCCACCCCATTGCCAAACCAGGAAATGGAGGTGCTGTGGCCCCAGTCTTGCTGCATATGTCCTGCTCTCCTGGGACCTTTTAAGCCACCACGGAGGAACCTCCCTGAAGCTAAAAGCTTACGTTACCTGCCCCCGACATCCTCCCTGGACACTATGCTCCACCTGCCTGCTCAAACATGCGCCGTCTACAGCTGTCGGGGCCCCACACCTGCCGTTGCAGGTCCCGTCTCCCTGCCCCTCTTCCAGTGCACCTTGTCTCGTCACAATTGCACGAGTTACAGCCTTGAGTTCCCAGACCTTGGAGTGTCAAGGAAGAAGGACAAAGACGACTCGGACGAACAGGAGTGTACTTTTTAGCATAAAATAGTAATCATGGACCCCACATAAGAGGGACTCTCACAACAACTTAGTCCATCCACTTAATTAACAGACAGGGGAAAATGCCTTTCTTAATTAGTTATTTGGGGATTGAGAAAAGACCTGAAAATGAAAACATGTCGGCATCCCTAAGGAAAATTACTAGCAGTCTCTGCTTCAGCAGCTAGCTGACCATTTCCCCCCCCCCAGAACACATTTTTTTATAACATCCTATTTTTCTGGGAAAAATAATTGTAATACTTTAAAGTTTTGTCTAAATTAATGCTTAGACATTAGGTAGCTGTAGCCTGTGTGAATAAAATCTATTTTTTAAAGATAGTGTTTTCTATTCTAGAAATTAGGTTTGAGAATATTAGCTTAAATAATAATGACACTTTTCTCATTTTTAAAATGGAATGGGTTGAAGTAATTAAGACATTGCATGTACCTGCCTGTAGGTGAGACACATACTAGATGCTCCGTGAAGACTTATAAAATTAAATAAGATATGAATTCAGTCATTTTCAGGTCATCAACCCATTATTATAGGAATAAAAAACTGTATGATATAAAAGAGTAGTTCAAGTTGATGTGCCCCAATTAGAACTTTGTTTAAAATATTTTCAAGAAAAAAATTAGCATCGAGTATGTTGGAAACGTTGGATGAGGAGGCCAAGGCCATGGGTGGGGAGGAGGCTCTGCCTTCCTGGGGTAGACCAGCCTGTGCAGGGGGGAGGAGGGGGCTGCGTTTGGCTGTTTTATCTAAGACTTCTCAACCAGTTTGGTTTCCGTTATTGCAGAGCTGTCAAAAGGATGCCTCCTCCCGAGTCCTCTATCCCAGAGCCCCCACCCCAGGACCCAGGAGCAGTAGGTGGGAGTGGGGAGGGCAGTGCAGGGAAGCAGTGGCCAGCCTAGGGTAACTCACCTGCAGGGAGGATTTTCAGAGTCACTCTGTGCACCGTCTGGGGCCCAGTGTCTCCCTCCACCACACAGCCGTATTCCCCAGCATCCTCCTCCCTCAGGGCAATCATCTCCACCTGGAGCAGGCCACTCCCCAGGTCGGTGAGGAATGCGCGGCTGTGCCCTGGCACTCTGCGATCCACTGCTGAAGACACCAAGGGCTGGCACCCCTCTGGCAAGAACCGGCACCACACCTTCTGAGCCTTGATGTCCTGGAGTCCATAGAGACACTGCACCTGAAGGGAGCCCCCCGCAGGTGCCTGAAGCTCCTCAGCCAAGCCCTGGCCTAGGGAAGGAAAGGATGTGGGAGTGTTAGACAGGAGTTGGGGGAACCTCCCAGCCCACCACTGGCATAGGGACACAAGGACCTGGAGGTCCACCTTCTGGGCCCTACACTTGTTACTGTTACCACAATAATGTTGATTATTTCTAGGCATGGAACAGAGTATGCAGGGCCCAGAGTACTGCTCTATCTGAACCTTACCTGTGTGGAGTCCCAGGAGCAGCAGCAGAAGGAGCAGGTTGGGACCCATCGCTGGTCAGGGAGATGCAGCTCAGGGGCTTGCCTGGGCACTGACACAGCATTCCCCCGGGGGCAGGAAACATCTGCCTCAGACAGTCACATGGGGCTCTCAGTGACCATGGGGTGGGAGGCAGATGCTGGTGGGGCCCTCTATGGGTGGGGACCAGGAGTGCTTCCAAATGCTGGTTGGCTGATTGCTCAGAAACTGACCCTGAGGGCAGGGAACAGAAAGGCAGGGCTGGGGCTCAGCTAAGGCAGCTGGAGGGCATTAGAGAAAGAGGAAAAATGATCTTCAAGGTCTTCCAAATGCAGACCAAATACAGACTGAGGATGCAGAGCTGTGAAGGAGGGAGGTAGTGTTCTACCCACAGTCCAAGGCCATTCTGATTCTAAAGTCTGTACATGTGTCCCCGCCTGAGCTTTCGGATGGTCCTCCTGTGGTGCAGCCTCACCTTGGGAGGTCCCCCCTTGAAGATGGACCTGGCCTGTCCTTGTTTACTCTTCCACTGTGGACCCACATTTTTCAGCTCCAGGAATTGCATTACTTCTTTGATAATTGCTCCTCCATTTTCTCTGTCCCCCACCACCCACCATTTCACTAGAACTCCCTAATTAGTCAGATATGGAACCTAAGGTATTCATCTCATTTTCATATTCTTTCTCTCTTATTTTTCATCATTTTTTGTCCATTTTGTCCTGATTTTTGGAGATAGCATCTTTTCCTTCCATCTCTTTTATTTTTGTCTTTTAAATTTTTATTTTTTAGTGCTCCTAATTTTTAGTGCTCTTAATAAGATTTCTTATCCTCTGAGCATTTTTTATTTAGAGCACATTTTTGTTTTAACAATACACTATCCTCCCTGTTAAGGAGATAATTCTTTATAAAGATTTTCACATTTCTGCCTGGTCTGGGCCTTCTGAGCACAGGGCACTGGCCAAGCTCTGCCCCAGGTGGTTGAGCAGCAAACGTGCCTGAGACGCCAGAGACAGGGCTGGCCCGGCCCCGTCCTTCCCCTCCCTCCCTCCCGGGAGAAGGTAGGCTTGTTTTGTTTTGTTTTGTTTTGATTTTATTTTTCAGTTACAGTTTACATTCCGCATTATTTTGTAGCCCGGTAGATATTTATTTTCTTTTTCAGTAGAAAAGGACTGTGAGGCTCTGAGTTGTTAAGGAACTGGCTTAAAGTTTCTTAGCAGGAGGCAAAGCTGAAGCTTAAAACCGAACTATCCAAGCCCCTTCCTTCCAGCGTGCCCCCCAGAGAGTCCATGGCAGGGGGTCCCAAGGCAAGAAAAGGCTGCCAATACCAGGCACTTGGCCTGGGGAGCGAAGTCTTCAGCAATGTGCAGAGGGACGGGCAACAGGAAGGGGGAACCCTGCTCAGTTTAGGCTCCACTCAGTCTTGACGACTGTCCTGCCTGGGGGTGTAAAGAGGAAGTTCCACGTGCCCCTGAGTCAGAAGACCAGGTCGGACAGAGAGGCAGCCTTGCTGGGGAGTGAGGCTCGGCTGGGCAGGGCAGGGCTCTGAGGCCAGAACACAGCTACCTCAAGGATCCAAAATCCCAGGGCCCACACTCAGGTTAGACAGAGGCCAAGCAGCCACGTGGCCCAGGGCAGAGGAGCTCCTTTCCTCTTCTTCCCAGCAGCCCACCCCCCGGGGAAGTCTCGGTCCAGTTTCCCCTTTACTCTTGGCCTGAGTGGGGAATGTGTGCTGAACACTGAGGCGAGATTCGCTACCACACCCCTCCAAGTGCTTCTCAGGTGCTGCCTCTGACTACCCTTTAGAATTCCATCACCCCCATCCCTTCTGTACTCCCAAAGTGCCGGACCAGCTGACTGACTTATTCACTGTTTCCTCTCGCCTGCCATCAGAATGAGGCTCCACAGGGGCAGGCACCTTTGCCTCTTTTGTTCACTCTGCATCTCCGGTGCCTAGAATTGTTCTGACACAGAAAAGATCTGTTAAATGAATAAATGAGTGGATGAGTAGGACTGAGCTAGAGGGAAGGGCCCCTTGAATGCCAAGTGTAATTTGGATTTCCAGGCTCTACTGGGGACTTTGGGTAAGTCCTTTCCCTTATGAGACTCAGTTTCCCTTCTGTACAATGAGGGACTTTGGTCAGTAGTTTCCAGTTCCGTTGTGTTACCCTCTGTAACTCATGTTTTGTCATTCCTCTGGAAGGGAAGTAACATGATGAAAGCGAAGCTCCAGAAAAGGATGAGTCAGCTGGGAATTGGATGGACTTGGGTGTGGGCATGGGAAGGGAGGAGAGAGGCCTGGGGCAGGGAGACCAGCCATAATCTTAGGGAACTTACGGACAGGAGGCAGGAAGAAGAAAGAAGAGGACAGGAGAGGAGAGGAAGACTGGGTGCTAGAGAAATTCCAGGGGAGGAAGAGGACTTGGTAAGTAGATCTAGGGGAGGGAGAGAGGAGAACAGAAAGACTGGCTACTTTGGGGCTTATGAGAATGGAGGGACATACTATATCCAAGATCCTAGGTTCCAATGAGTCTGACCTTTTTGCTCATCAAAATTTATTCTCTTGGCACTGAAGCAAAAGAAAAGAGCTTCATGATGCCCCAAAACAATCCAGTTAAACATGAAGTCTCAGATTTATCTGTGAAAATTTTGATGTCCAATGTCCAGAAATGGGTAGATGGTCTTTCCACCTCCAAGGCACAGGTGCCTTGTACGTGCGCGCGCGCACACACACACACACACACACACACACACACACACACACACACGACTGGAGCCAGGGGAAGCAGAGCACAGGCAAAGTGGCGATTTGCCAAAGCAGAACCGGGAGTCTCGGTGGCTGACAGGCGAGCGTGCAGACCTCCCAGGGCCTGTCATCCCACGTGGGGTCCTCTCCTCTCAGGTGTCTGTCAGCCCTGCAACACACAGAGTACTCACGCTGCCCCTCTCAGCCCCACCTCTCCTCTCTGCCCCACCCACCCCCAGCCACACTGTGCTCTCCAAGCTCACCTGTCAGAGTCTGCAGCTGGTAGCCTGAGTCATGGCCGCAGTCGGGCCCCCTGGCCGGGGATGTGCCCCGTTTACACCCATGCCAGGCAGTAACCCAGAGGGCACTGGCTGCTAGAAGCTTGATGAGAAAGATGCAGGCCAGGAGGAAAAGGATGGAAGTGGGTGGAAAGGGGAGCTCCTCTTCTGAGAGGTTCCTTGGAGAAACAAGGAGAGCATGTGGGAGGACTCCAGGTGGCCCCAGGGAAGGATGCAGAGACACCAGGATCTTCCCACAGCTTAGGGTATGCCCCACCCACCCAGCACCACCCCTGGTATGGAGCTTTGGGGCCTTGGGAAGCCTGTTTTCCGGAGACCTAAGTTCTAGGCAGGGGCCTGCCTGCTAAGTGCATTTAAACACACCACCTTTCCTCGCTGAACAGTTTCTGCCTTTCGTGATGGAATGGAGTGGTGGGGGCGGGGGGGATGTGCACAAGGGGAGAACATGTGAGCTCCATGGTCATGTTTAACAATGTTTAATACAATACACAGACATGAACCAATCAGAAAGGATTCTGGTCCCATCAAAGGAACACATTGGGGTTCCCAGTTTTGCACCAAAGTACTAAAATGCACATTGCTGCTGAACTGTGCACATGTCCTAGGGCTGCCTGGGGAGGTGCAGAAAGCTGACCATTTGGAATCTTGAAGCTGCAAACTGTTTATGAAAGAACTTCAACGTTTTAGCAACTGGCACAGTCATGCCAACATTCACTGGCTGTTTGGAAGGGCGTTTACATAAGATCATTCCAGGCCCTTTCCTACTCCAACTGCCTTGGAATTTGCAGTTCTGGGACCTGCAGTATCAACCCCAGGCCCGGGACCTGGAGGGCCGTCTGCCAGGGATTTAGGAAAGGCCCGTCACTGTACCTGGAGACGCTGTGCTCCACCTGGGCATCCTTGGGGATCCAGAGATCATCGGGGTCCTGGCGATCAAGGGGGTCTGTGGGAGACAGAGTCGCTGAGCTTCGATGCCCTCCCCCTGAGGCAGCCTGCCCAGGTGGGGAGAACTTCTCTGAGCAGGCGGAGGCCTGTGGGCTCTGGCCCTGTGCGGAACAAGTTGTCAACCGTTTTAAGTCTCAGTTTCCTCACCTGTAAATTAGGGCAATTAGGAACATCTCCTCAATAATACCTTTGCAAATTCAGTGGGAACATCTTTGTACAAGTCTCTAACACCCTCTAGGAGCTCAGTAACTGTGATTCCCATCCTCCCATCTCCCAGGGCCTTTGGGAAGATCAGGTCATATAATGAATGTGTCCAGAAGTCCTGAGCAAACTACCAAGCTGTCTGCACCAGCTATGGATTCTTTTCTGCCACACTCTAGGGAGTCGGCTGAGCGTCACCCTGACAGAGCTGAACATTTGTGTCTCCTCACCCCTTACGCCTCTTTCCACTTAGCAAGGTGGTGGAAGTGGGGTCTGGGGTAGGCAGTCTCTCCTAAGCTCCCCACCTTAGACAAATACTACTCTGGAGCCACTTTTCCATTAGGGGCCATGTTGTGAGGAGGAGGAGGTGGGGGAAAAGAGAGTCAGAAAAAGGAAGGCAACCTCAGATTTCTTCTCCTCCAGGATACGGTCTCTCCCTGGAGACACAGGCAGTTGCTTTCCTGGAGGGCACCCCCTGTGCAAAGCTCAGGGGAGGGGGTAGCCCTCCCCCTGGTTCACCCAGTAGAGCCTGGAATGAAGATGCCAAGCAGTTCAGCAGCAGGGGGCTGGGTCCCGGGCTGCCCCGTACCCCTAAGCCCAGTTAACTCTCATCTCACGTGTGCCTCTCAGGAGCCCTGCAGAGTCAGCAGGACTGATCTGCTCCAGATGAGGAATTAGAGTCCCAGAGAGGAGAAGCAGGGGCTCTGTGGCTCAGGGGCACAGTGTGCCTTTCTTGAGTTGTTTTTCTATACCTAGTTAGTGCTTAGTTTATGTTGGTAGGAGCATTGGCTGGTTGGGTAAGGAAATGAGTGAATCTCTTCCCATGGCTCAAAGACTACCTTCAGTGTTCACATCCCAACCGATGCCAAAGGGATAGAGCTGTTTTGGGAATCAGGACCACAGTTAGCTCAGATGGCCCCTGTGCTAATCCCCCTTCTGCTAGTGATGCAGTCCTGCCCCAGGAGCCACGGCCTGGACAGAGGTGGCAGGGTTGGACCATGGCCCCCTGCGCAGCGAGCAACCTGCATAACCACCCACTGTGACCCTCGGTGCAGGGACGAGATCTACAGTATGGGTTTTCCCAGGGCCGCCAAAAGGCCAGAGGGTAGTCCTACACACAGACACCGAAGACATGAGCCCCCGCCCAAGGGCAGGCCAGGGTGCCACCAGCTGCCCACTCACCAGCCAGTACCTCCACTAGGACCTTCCTGAGGGTGTCGGCCTCACTGCCATGGAGGCTCTGACACTGGTAGAAGCCAGCATCCTGGGCTTGAAGATTCTTCATTGTAATGGTGAGGGTGCCACCCAGGGTGTCATCTGCGATGGCCGTGCTCCCATTCCGCCTCTTCACAAAGGACAGCAGCCACGAGCTGTGGGTGCTGACTACCCGCTGGCATTGGTTCCCTTCACCCAGCTGGCGGCACCAGGCTTTGCGTCTCCCCAAGTGCTTCAAGGAGTCGTAGGGGCAGGAGACCCGCAGGGACTGGCCTGCCACGCCCTGGAACACCGTGGTGTTGTGGGCTCGGGACAACGCTGGGGAGGAGACATTCATTCACTCTTTCAGTCGTTTGCCTAATATTTATGAACACCTACTATGTGCAGTGAACAAAAGAGACAGAAATCCTGCCCTTAAGGAGCTCAGGTTCTTCTAGAAGTTAGAAGGAGGTGGCACAGTCCAGGCATAATGTGAGTACGGAAGACTGGGACCAATGAACCCTGGGTTCTGGGTCTGGATCTATCATTGTCGTACTTGCTGAACATCATTGAAGAAGTAACTGACCCTCTCTGGGCCTGTTTCCAAAAGCTCTTGGTTCTGAAGTTCTCTCCAGTTTATTCTACACATCTTCTCCCTATCACATGGAAATGAGGCATCTCCTCACCCCTCTCCACCTCAAGAGAGAAGAGCTAGTGCCCCTCTCATGCCTGGGGCTAGTCCATGGGGGATGGGCAGCCCCTGCTTGCCTGCCCTGTTTGTTCTGCTGCCGCTGCCCACACTGGTGCCTCTGCCCACGCTGGTACCGGCTTGGCATTCTGCTCTTCCTGACCTTTAGCTTCCAGCTTCCCTATTTCTGTGGCTTTGTTCCCCTTTCAAGATGGACTTGTCTCAGCTATTTTGGGGGAGACATGAGGTTGCTATTTTGGGGGTCCTCCTTGGGGTGGGGGAGAGGGGCTTAGAGCACTAGTCTACTTCCAGGGCAGGGGCTACAAGGGAATCATTCAGAGCTCTCTGCCTCAGCTTTCTCTTTCTTGATCCTCCTCCATGGTCACCCCATGGTCCACCGTACGGTGACAGAAACTTGAAAAATAGGGTCGTGGAGCTGGTGACCTGTTTTTTTGGAAACAGAGAGGCCTGGTGAGCAGTCCCCTCCCCGTGCCATCCCTCCATCCCTCTGCCTCCAGGTAGGCCACACCCCCACCTTCCTCCAGCCCACCCCAGCTCCTCTCACCCAGGTTTGTGTCTTGCTCTGGGGAAGCAAAGGCACCCTCCCCTCATTGAGAAGGGGCAGCAGTTGTATGCAAGAAGTGGGGGTGTCAATTCTCCCAGCTCGGTAACAGAAATATTCGGCCCCCTCACCTCCTCTCCAGAGCTGAGGACCTTCCAAGCATGGGAGGGGTCACCCAAAACACATATTCTCAGTCAGGTTCTTTCCCCCCTCCTTCCTGCCACTCCTCTGGGGCTAGTCTTGTGGTTAAGTGGTTCATAAGTCTCGGGGTTCTGACCAGTACCCTCCAAACTTCCCTCAGCTAATCTCTAGTGTTTGAAATGTCACCACCAGAACTCCTTCCCTTTCCATGTGACCAGAATCCACCAGCTCTTTATACCTGAGCGTGCATTAAAGAGTCTGACGTGGGTCCTGTTCCCAGGGAGGGGAGAAGGGGAAGGATACGAGGTGGGCAGAAAGAGAGGGGTGCAGAATGTGCGAGGACTTCAACCTCCTTCAGCTCAGTGCTCCCCAACCAACTACCCACCTGCCATATACTCAAGGAAGGGGAAGGAAAGAAGCTACCAGCAGTGGAGGGAGGGGATCCTACCTGTGACAGAGAGCAGGATGAGCAGCCGGAGAGGCTCCATGACACCCTTCCCTTGCAGAGAGCAGACGCAGGGTGCCTTGTGCAAGATCTCGTTTTTCTCTTGAATTGCAGAAAGAAGAGGGTCAGGACATCAGGCGCTGCCCACGGACACCAGCTCCTGGGGATTGAGCAACGGACCGGACCAGGGTCTGGCTTTATGATTCAGGGAGGGGCTGCAGTGTGGGGGAGGAGAGTAGAGGAGAGGTGGAGCCAGCTACTGCAGCCTCCCCCAGAGGCTGAGGATCTCGGACCTCAGAGAGGCCAGCCCTTCGTCTGTGCACCCCCCAGGGTGACCCCACAGGGCTGGGGCTAGTCACGGCTGGAGGCTGCAGAGCCTACAGGGATCATGACTTTCACCACGGTGCTCACACCTTCCTCCAGTGGCACTGCCTGCCATTCTCTGGTTCAAGCCTAATAGGGGATGAAGGACAGTTTCTCTTCTTGGAAGAAGCCAGAACCCTCACCCTCTGGACTGGCATCCCTGCGGTGTATCAGTGGTATAAAAAAAAATAGCTCTGGAGCTAACTTTGTGACTTCAAGTCCCTTCTGACTCACCCCTGTGTGTGCAGCCACACATCCATAGTCTCTCTGTGTCTCAGTTCCTATCTCTGTCAAATGGGAATGAGAATAGTGTACAGGGTTATTGGGAGGATAACACGGGTTTCTACAGGCAGAGTGCTTTAGAACAGGACCTGACACACAGTAAGCACTCAACAAAAGTAACTAGTACCATATCCTAGTGAGCAAGGGAAAGAAATAGTGGGCTATCTGTGAGAGGGACAACTTTCTGTGCCCCCTGGAATCTCCTGCCCAACTTTAGTCTCCTTTACCCAGCTGGGCACCTCCCGAGGGCACACACTCACATGACCATTATATTGTGCATACACACACCTTTGATTCACCATCATCCTATGGAACAAGACAGGATGTGACATTTCCTTTCTTCCTTCCTTCCTTCCTTCCTTTCTTTCTTTCTTTCTTTCTTTCTTTCTTTCTTTCTTTCTTTCTTTCTTTCTTTCAAGAAAGGAAGGGAGGGAAAAAGAGAGGAAGAGAAACATCAATAGGTTGCTTCTTGCACAAGCCCCAACCAGGGATTGAACCCACAACCTAGGCTTGTGCCTTGACTGGCAAATGGACAGTGACCTTTCCCTCTGTGGAACAATGCCTAATCAACCGAGACACACCAGTCAGAGCAGACATGACATTTCCTGGAGATCTGGGGGATGAGAGGTGCTTTTTCCACAGGTGCAAGTCCAATGAAGGGTGATCCAGGCACAGGGACCTGCATGTGCAAATGCACAAAGGTGTGAAATGACCACGTGAGTCAACATGGGGTGGGGGACCCAAAGCAATTCCCAGGGGCAAGGAGTTGAGCTGTGCCAGCAGAAGTAGCAAGACAGGCTATAAGAGACCACTGTGGCCTACGGATCACCAGGGCCTACTCTGGTTTCCTGCAAGCACTCTGACTTTTTCTTCCATTCATTTATTTATCGATACTTACTATGTGCACACCATTTGGGCAGGGGATGTGCAGAGCGATGGATAGTTAATGATGAACATAAGATCATCCTTCACCTACAGAGCCAACTATCCAGTCTCAACCTGGGGCCTAGAGAATGCAGATCTGAGGCCAAGTGAAGATCACTGTATAAGATCCCTCTATGGTCTTTAAAGTTGGGATTATTGGCATATAGTTTAATACAAAAAATTCACCCCATTAGAATGTCCATTTCTATGGATTCTGACAAACTCTTACATCTACATATCAACCACCATAATCAAAATACAGAACATTTCTATCAGCCAAGAAACATTCCATCACACCCCTTTGAGCAGATCCAGGCCCTGGAAGCTATAGATCTGACTTGTGGTCCTAGAGTACCCTGCCCTTCTAGAATGTCATATACATGAAATGATATAGCAGGTACCCTTTGGGTCTGGCTTTTTTCACATATCATGGTACATTCAACATTCCCAAAGTTGTGCTTCTCGGTGATTCATTTCTTTTTATTGTTGAGTAGTATTCCCTTGTGTGGCTGAACCACAGATGCTTTATCCATTCATCACCTGATGAACGTTTGAGTTCTCTCCAGTTTGGGCAATTATGAATTAACCACTGTACACACTTATGTGCATATATTTGGTGTGGACATATGTTTTCATTTCCCTCAGATAAGACCGAACCAGTGGGGGTGCTAGATCTCGTGGTAAGTGAATGTTTAATTTTGTAGGAGCTGATGCACTGTTTTGCAAAGTGACTGCACCATTTTTGCATCCTTGTCAAGACTTGATATTATCAGGTTTCTTTTTCAGTCATTTTAATAGGCTTATCACGATACCTCATTATGGCTTTAGTTTGTATTTTCCTAATGCCTAATGATGTTGAACATCTTTCACTGTTTATTTGCCATTTGTATATCTCCTTTGGCAAAGTTCAAATCTTTTGTCCCTTTTAGTGGTTTATTATTATTGTTATTATTTAGTTACGATAATTCTTGATATATTCTGGGTATGAGTCCTTTGTGAGATATGTGATTTGCAAGTATTTTTCCAGTCTCTAGTTTGATCATTTCCTCAACAGTGTCTTCCAAAGGGTAGAAGATTTAATGCTGATAAAGTTCAATTTATTGATTGTTTGTTGGGTTGTTTTTGTTTTTTTGCCTACAGACATCCAATTTACCAACATCATTTATTGAGAAGACTATCCTTTCTCCCTTGAATTGTTTTAGCATCTTTTTGCTAAACCAATTTGTTGCAAATCAATTGACAGGTAGATCTGTTTCTTGATTATCCATTCTGTTCCATTGATCTATGTGTCTATCTTTTCACAAATATCACACCATCTTGACTACTCACTGTGGTTTAATGACAAGCCTTTAAATCAAGTGGTATGGGAATCCAACTGTTCTTCAAACTGGTTTCGACTATCCTAGTTACTTTGCTTTGCCATGTAAACTTTAGAACTAGTTTGTCACTTTCTCCCTCCCAGCCCCAATTCCCACCAAAGAGAGAGCCTGTTGGGCTTTTGTTTGGGATTATATTGGATCTATAGCTCAGTTGGGGGGGGGGTGGACTAGACATCTTAGCACTATTGAGTCTTCCAGTCCAAGGACACAGGTTAGCTCTTCATTTATTTATTAATTTTATGGTTTCTCTCACCAATGTCCTATAGTTTTCAGTATACAAATCTTCCACATATTTCATTGCAGTTCTACCTAAGTATTTCATGATTTTGCTGCTATTTTAAATGTGTTTAGCTGTCTACATCTTAGACAGAAACAGGACTGAAAAGTCCCATAAATCTTTATATTACTTCCTTGGCCATTTATGCTCCACTATGACCCCTTCTTACTTCATTTCTACCTGAAGAAAGGGTCCTTTTTCTTCCTTCGAACCTTATGTCAAAGGCCAGACACCAAGAAATATTTACTAGTTCTTCCCAGCACATGTGTATCAAATGTTCTCATCTTCTAGCTTGTGCTAATGAAGTTCAAGCTAGAAGATGCTCAGATCCTCTTATCTGAACACAGGAACACTTATGCTCTGCCCACTCCCAAGCACAGGGTCCTGCCTTTCTCTTTGATAAATCTGAGTTCCAAGACACCTGCCACCTCACATTTGGGCCTGGTGATCTCTTTCCCTCTGTAATTATATCTGAACATCATCATTCACCAATGCATGCATTTAACCACCATGAATGTGCTAGTCACTGTGGTCAGCAACTCAGGTCTCTTGGAGATCCAGTATTTCTTGATATGGTGTTGGCCATTGCTCAGGAAACCACAGAACCAGCAGCATGACCGGACACACAAACTACTCCAGATGTCTAACGTTGGCTGGAACTTCACAGCTGCCTTTCAGAATTCCAGCAGGTTGTCTAGTAGACTCCTTATAGCAGCTGCTCAAAATTGTCACCCTCCTCAAACACACACTTCTATCCACCTCCTCCTTCTACACTAAGAATATATGTGAGAATCTTCACCTTCTTCCAGATCTTCCATCATCCTCTCATTCGAAGTCTTGCCTTTTTGAGCAGCAAGAGAAGTGCCAGAGCCTGGTCAGGACCATGGCCAGCACTCAGGCCTGCACTGGCCTCCAGGAGGGGTGCAGTTGGAACTGATGCCATGGGAACCACTCAGACTAACAGGACACCCCATCAGCCCAGCCTGGGAAAGCCCCACCAGCCCTCCCTGAGAAGTGGGCTTGAGAGAGTAATTGGTGGTGCCCACCAACCTTTGGCCACCAACCTCAAACATCAGATCCCACAAATGTCATTTTCTGATAAGCAGCCAGTGAAGACTTCCCTTCCCCAGTTCCCTCTTTGATCTTGTCTTGGTTTTACTTGATCTAACCTTCCTGGATTCAAACCCCTGCCTTCAAGCCCCAACCTCACCTCTGACCCTTTATAAACTTGGCCATCTCCCATCTCTCTCCTTATATTTATACCATCACTCTGGCACTTCCAGCTGAGTCAATCCCCCCCATTCTTAGCATCTTATGTTTTCTAATTGAAGGTTTCAGCCCTTGTCCAAGGGCAATGACTTTTCTTTTCATGGCAGAGCATCTCTCAGGAGGTGAGTGCGGAGGCAGGGACCCAGGCACTGAACACCATACATGTCATCCTAGGCACCTAGGGCTCAGACACAAGCACAGGGACTCTCACCTGCTGCCTGATTGGGTCAGGACTGGTCCACATTCTGGCTGAGGTTGGGGGAAATGTCTAACCTGGGGTCAAAGTGTGGGCACTGGAAGGCCAGGTGGGACAGAAACTGGAACTACAGGGAGGGGTTAAGCACACAGACTGTGGGCTATTACAAATCTGTGCTCAAATCTAGCTGTTAATTACCAGCTATATGGCCTTAGGAAAGTTTCTTAACTCCCTAGTCTGGCTTCACTCTCTGGGTATTTAAAGTTATTGTACATCGTTAAGTGCTAAAAAAAAAAGTAGCTAGTATTATTTTTTCCCCTCTTTAATATATTTTTCTCAAAAATCTTTTTTCCTCCTGCTTATCTTCATCCTCAAATTCTATCTCCTTTTCCAAGATGATCTCTCTCTCTCTCTCTCAACAATCCCTAGGAACCTCTCACCTACAGCCTCTCTTGTCCTCTTCAAAC